AAAAGAATTTGAAAAAAATACAGATGAATAGCTCACTCTACCAACTCCGTATCTCTTGTTCTAGGCCAAGTCCTACAAGACCTACCTGAGACCATCTCTTGATTTTACTCTGTTGTTTTTCCAAGGAGCCTCAGAAACATACTGACCACAAAACATTTTGACTACAATGCCAATTGTTTTATTTCAACCTTCACCATTCTAGAAGATACATATAGAGCACCAGACCAGCAAAAGCGAAAGAGAAAAACAATATGGAGCATAAAACCCTCCTATAAATCAGAGCTGGCTCAGCAAAACATTAGCCATGGCAAGTCCCACCAAGGCCAGGATCGGAAAGGTGCAAGCACCAACCCCTGGCTGTACCTCAAAGGTTCAAAAACCATTTCTAAATATAGAACCCACTTTATGTTTGCAGGAGCTGTAAATCAGGGAAAACAACTTTTTTCCATCCCCAATAAAATATCTGCACCCAAAGCAAAATCAGCCCATTTCTGGCTTTCCACCAGTTTTACTTGGGCATAAAATTTTCTGACACTTCACCAGAAATGTTAGCATTAGTATAAGGCAGCTTTAAAGAGGGAAATAACTTTCTGACCTGTGGATAACCCCTTCAACCCCAACAGGAAAAGGGGGGAAAATCTGAAACCCAGGTTTTCCAGTTATTAGTATAAATGATACAAATTATTTTTCTTAGTGGCCAAATCCTTCCTTATAGGAATTGTTGGTCTTTGAATTCAGTGAGGGGAGGGGTCATGTCTGTTTTACTGCTATATCCCAACACCTACCCTACACAGAGATGGAGAAGGATTTCAGTGAATAGTCGAGGAGGGGAAGATGAGGGAGGAGAGATGGAGGAGGAGGTAAGGAGAGAAAGTGAGAGAAGTTAATATGGAAATATTCCTTTCCTTTTTTTCTATCATTATTTTTCTTGAACTCTCAGGCATCCAGGCTTGATAGACAATTAATTTTATCTTTTCTCAGGGCTTTCGGTCTGAAGCTAGATATACCACTGAGAAAAGGGGAGGAGGGGTGAGACAGAGCTAACAGGTACTTCTGTCTTCACCATTTATTCAACAACATTCAAGAGCATGGCTGCCAGCTCCAGCGTGTGGAGCTAGAGGCCAGTCAAGTGAGGTCAGGGAAGACGTGGTGGAAGAGGCACCCCTGCACCGGACCTGGCTTCATGTAGCAAGTACCAAGGCGGGCAAGGAGGCAGGAGAATCTCAGAGTGAAGGGAGAGGCCGGCTGCACAGCAGGCAGGATGCTTTTTCCCCAAAGTGCTTCATGGAATACATTCTATGAACGCCACATTTGTGAAACCAAGGATTAAACAAAATAGCACAGGTTTCCTCACTGCAGACCTTCTCACAGCTTTTACTATGCCACTGGAGCAGAAGTGGTAAAAGATTCAATTTGTAAACCAGAAAGGATTAACTTTGGGAGGAAAAAACCCAACTATTTCACTTTCTAGTTGTATTAGCTGGAGCAAAATACTCACCTTTATGAACTTCAGTTTTCTCTTTCCCAATATGAAAGAAATGAGAGCCCAACCTCAGTTATTGTGAGAAGTAAATACTACAGAAGACGTGATTAATTCAGTGCTGGTACCTGGTGCCAACTGTATTGTTGCTGCTGCTGCTACTCCTGTTATTTCTATTATTATTATTATCAAGCTGCATCATGAATATTAAAAGGAAGAATGAAATATGCAGTATTCCTTAAATAGTTTGGTCACTTTTTCAACAGGTATTTCTAAATGTGGGGTCAGCACATAATGCCCAGCCTAGCACACAGTAGGTGCTCACTATGCATTTGTAGAGGGAATGGGGCAAAGAACTGACTCCGGCAAAGAGAAGATTGCAGAACAATAAAAAGATGCTCTGGAAAAGGTGTTTTTCATTATTTCTTTGGGCAACAGGCCTCTGAGGTCTGGGAGGAGTGACTTCATCTTTTGCTAGAAGAGTGAGGGATTGAGAGCACAGTGTTCAGCTTTGGGGAAACATCACAAAGAGTTTATTTTGGTAGAAGTGTTTGAAGTGACTCTGTAACAATGAGCTCACGCCTGCTGCCAGGCGCCAGCCATCAGCTTGAGCCTGCTTGCAGGGCGGTGCGCTGGGTCCCACTGACAGCCCCTCCTCAGACATGTGACGCCCACGTGCAGGGAGGGACCCCAGGAGCCTTGCGCCAAAGACAGCTCCCTCCTCTCTAAGAGGGGACACTGAGGCCCAAACAAGGAAGTTTCTGAACCAGGATCCAAAGTGAGCTGGAGGGTGGGAGGGCTTGGGAGAGGGCCGAGCCTTCTGGTTCTGCTTGGTTGATTCTTTGACAGGATTTTGAGCTAAATCCCAAAGGATATTTTTTCCTTTTTTAGTCAATTGCTGCATACATTTATGGAGATAACCTCATCTGTCATAAGTCACACGCTAATCTCACAAATAGTTCCTAGAAATGAGCAAGTTGCACACAAACCCTCTCTGAGTGCCATACAGAGGTCCTGATAAACTGCTGCATCTCCCCACTCGTCTGTGTGTAAAGAGGTTCCTGACAGTGGAGTTTATTGGAGTGGAGATACGAACAGGTTTAGAATATGACATTTGCATTTTACCAAACCCAATGCGTAATATACGTCCACCTGCATTTAAGCATGAGAGTCCACATAGAGTGTGAAAAGGAAATGAAGTCATCTAAAATAGTTGGAGGGAGAACTTCCTGCAGAGTCCACAGCACACAGAAAAGCTCCAAGACTTAGTGAAGTTTTGAGCTTCGGATTGGGAGGTGGGGATATGCAGGGCAGACCATAAACTTCTACAGTAAGAAAGACCAGACATCATTTTTCTTAGATACATGATATGTGTATATACCTAGGCACACATATATGCATACACACACACACATATATATATCTCAACTTTAAGCCACATAAAGAAAGCATATGGGCCAGAGATCCTGCACTCAATTCAATTATTACATTTCATTTTATTTTAACTGGTAAACCTGGAAGCAGTTGGGAAAAAAAGCACAGTTAACTCTGGAAACTTGTCAAAGCTCAAGAAAGCTTCCAGGACTCTACAGACGTTTTTGTTTTCAGGAGGGCAGGGCTGCCCAATTCCTCCTACACCAAAAATACAATCAGAGACTATTCACACTGATTGCACATTTTCTCTATCGTGTTCATTTAGGGCAATAGGTTAACGAAACTGGAATGATCTGAACTTTGATTTAGCCCTTCCAGTCCATCCAACTAGACTAGATTTGGCATGTACATTTTACCAGACTCAGCACACTCTGCCCCTTGTCCAAAGAACCCCTGGCTACCCATAACCTCTCCCAGCCTTAACCTTGCACCCTGTCTTCTGAAAGCCAGGGTTCACCATGAAATAGGAAAAAACGAACTACTACCCAATAAATCTCCTGATGCATAAAAAACACAGCAGAACATGGACAAAAAACTTAAGGCCCAGCAGGGAGCCTGAGGTACAAGACCAAAAGGGGTCTTGTACCCAGCAAAGGAAAGGCAAAAGGAGACAAAAAATAAACAAGACAGGCAAGGAGAAAAGCTTAGGGCTCCATTGAATGAATGGATCCAAAACGTGGAGGAAAGGTTTGGATGCATGTAGACAAACCCCTGCACCCTGCCATTATGAAGTCTGTGTTTCTGCACATAGAGGCATTGGATTTGTTCTATTCCAGAAAGTGAATTAATAGTCACTGGGTTTTTAGTGAGAGCAGTTCTCTATGGTCATGCTTTCAAATCGCTGATCAGATCTCTGTTTTGGAAACTTTTGAGAACGGGGCTTCCTTCGGCGTGATGAAGTTCAAGCAGTTCCTGTAGAATATCCAGTGTGGTATGTGGGAACTGCAGAGAAGTGGCCAAGGACTACAAGCCCCTGGAGTTGGAAGCTAGTAGGGGGACAAAACCGGCATGTAAGCAGGAGACCTTGTTTTGAAATTATTTCTGCTGGAATAAATACATTGGTCTGGTGGCTTGGGTGATAGGACAGAACAAAAGGGTGTAGACCCAGCAAAAATAGAAGAAAATAATATGTCTTACCTCTCAAAATAACAACTATATTGACTACCACTTTGATTTGAAGCTTACTTTTATTGAAGTTTAGATAGCCTCAAATCACAGAATGACTACTCTTTAGGAAACCTACTGATTGAATCTTAAAGAAATCACTAAATACTACACTGTATGTTATTAGAAAGAGAAGCCTTCTTTGACTTAAGGAAGAATAAATTGTTGGCTTGGGCCACCTACATTAAGAAGAATCAAACCTAGGATGCACTTTCAAACAAAATGTCCATTTCACTTCTGAATATCTGGGTGGACACAGTCAACAATGAATCTGGTTTTACACTTGGTTCCATATGCTATGCCCTAGGTAATTAAAGTATGTCCTATGGCTAATAAAAATGAAGTTAGAAAGTTAAAACCAAAATAATGTCAGGAAATAACATGTGTGTACAATATGTTAGCAACACATTGATAATTTTCAAAAGTGACTTTAAAAAAAGTATTATAAATCTTTCAAAACACAGTGATTTATTAAGCGAAAAGTCTGAACGATTTGCGCTATTAAATTTAGCTTTTAAGTTGCTGTGTCATGGGCAGATCTTTTGTTTTCCTAGGTTAAATTTAGCATCCTGCATTTTGTTTTTTCCACAGCTACATGTTGTATCATCATGCAGTCAATTTTCTGGGTAGCTTGGGAGAGATGCTTTGGGGAGTTATTACCATGCTTTCTCTTACTGACTTTATAATCCAGGAATAGAATTAATCAAGTAATCCAATGATGGTTTATTTCCAACTTCTTCTTTGCCTTTTCCCACCTATACAGCCTTCTGATAAAATAAACCTTCCCGAGGCATGGGATGAAATGGAGAAAAATGCTGTGGCCAGAGGAAAACCATTTCAGAAACGCATTTGTTAAACAAGGGCAAGCAATATAACTAAGCGTAGGCGGGAAAGGCGGCGAGAAGAAAACTGAAGTACTGACCTGGGAGTCAAGCTGATTGGAGCAAGGGTGAAAGCAGCGGTTTGGAGGATAAGCAGAAAGGAAAGGGAGAGCAAAAGAGAATAAAAGGAAGGAAACGCATTAGTTTTAAGCATACAGCCGACAGACGTTATATTAGCAGGTTTATAACCAAAGGAAGCAAACTTTTATCTGATATCACCCCAAAAAGCCCTGGGCACATGCTGTAAGCTGTTATATTAAATATCTTACCTAAGGAATTGGCATTTGCTTTCATACGCATAATTACAATAAGCGCTGGTGTGAACCAGAAGTGTGCTCCCACAGTGCAATGGCAGCATTAGCCCTTCTCCGGAAGAATAAAATTCCTATCTGTGTGCATATAAAATTTTATTATTTAATAAACTGAAATGGAAATTACTAAGGTATTAGACCTGGCAGCAAGCATGGATGTCAGAAAGATTTTTATTTGAACCAGTAAGTTGGATAGTTATAGCCTATGAGATATTTTTCCCTCATCCCTAAAAACCAAAAGGACCTGAGCAATTTGGCTTTTGGTTCAAAGATTTCCATTTTCAATGCTTACAGAGCACTGTACCTGACAATGATCAAAGCCCCAGTGAGGAGGGCTTTTGGTGGGGTGCCACCTGCCTATCAGCCTCCCAACCAAGGACAGAGGAACTTCCAAAGCTGAGAGTAATTTTTTTCAGTTGTGAAAATGAGGCTCTGACTTCATCACTTAAAATATCCAGATGCTTGATAACTTATTTGTACAAAAATATCTAACATGCCCTTCTAATCAGTCAAAATAGTAGTCTCAATGCCAAGCAAAAAATAAAATAAGAAACAAAGAAAAAATCATACTCATTTTCCAGGCTAACACAGGAGCTGATAGTGGACATTCATTTTGTTAACCTAAAAAATGCCCTTGGCAAAAACAAAGTGGATAAACAAATGCTTTATCAGCTATCCACTCAGTGGGACCACACTGTTCCATACTATACAAAAGTTTTAAGCATTTCATACAGGAAGGAAAAACAAAACAAAATAAAACACATCCATAGGATAAAGCTTAAACTAGAACTTTTCAAGTGAAAACAGTGTTGACTATAATAATAAAACTGAAAGAGAAAATGTAAGATTAAACACATGGTGAAAGTGTTGATTTGATAATCCCTCATATCTGAAATCCCCCTGGCAGAGTGTTTTGTGATCACAAATGCTCAACTGATCAACAATGAGAGTTAGGTCAGAGAATGGTCACTATGGGGACTTCGGCAACATTGGCACCAGCTGCCATTTCAAATCCTTCTGGATCAGAGGAAATTAAACTGAGTTCCATGGCCAAGTTTTAGGGAATCCTAAACTGAAACAGCAGGCACACATTTAACATTAAGTTGCCTCTTCCAAGGGTTCTTAGTTTTCATAAAATTCTTAAAGGTGTCTGTGACATCCATGACCCTCTCCAAAAAGTTGCTAGGGATGGTACAGAACCATCTGTCACTTGTTTTCAAGAAATTCCTTCAAATACATTAACAAACATAAGTGGAAATTACTCAGCAAGAAGAGTTTATATCAAAACAAAACTGGCATCAAATTGCTTCCACATACCATGATTTTCTAGAACATATTATAATTTAAAAATAAAGCATGAGTTTACGCTTTGAAAAGAGTCCTGAAAGGCATCAAAGAATTATGTCAGCACATTATTGAGCAAATCAGGAAAAAAAAATAATGGTCTCTTTCTCAACCTTAGATAAGGCTCTTTTAGGCATCTAAAATGATTTCTTCAAAGTCCAAATGTCTGGTAGTATTAGTCCTCAATGTAGATAATTAAGTGGAACCTGGTTTTCCATTCTGATATTGTCTCAGGGGTAGAACCCATAAGAGGACCCACCCTCCTCTCCATAGTGGGGACAGATCTGATTGATGCTCGTTTGGGCATTCCCCATCCTCTAGACAAATACCTACAAAATCCCTATGTGTTTAAGATAATTACAGGAAAGGTCATGGGACTGATTCCCTTACATAGGATGTGAGAAACCGAGTGGCAGCAGATCTTATTTAACAGACCTCTTAACCTCTCTCTTTCCCCTAAGGCACCAAAAGATCAATCCTGAAACTAAATAAAACTCAGAGACCTTGATGAGCACTGACACGGAAGCTGCTTCTGAGGTTTAATTAGCTATTTGGTTATGTAATATACATGACATCTCACATTGTGATGGAATAAAGACTTCAGCTGGATTTGGATCAACTCTCAGGGACTTACTCAAGGCCCCCCACGCACCCTGTGGCAAACTTGCCCCCCAAGAGCAGCCTGCAGCCCAGGGCAGAAGCTCCCCACTGGGCCATCAGCTCCAAGTGCAAGAGTTTACAGGCACAATCGCACATGGGGCCACACTAGAACAAAGTGCACTTTAAAAAGAAAATCTTTAATGGCTGATGAAAAACATCATTCACGTGGAATTTAAGAGGCAAATGTAAACACCAGCCATGTGCTATTTGGAATGTATACATTGGGGAGAAAAATCAAAAATGGGCAGATTAACAGAACAGAACATAAACACAAACAGCCCTCTGAGAGAGAAAGGGGCCGCGCCAGGGTCCTCTGAGTTATTCCTAACCCTACACCTTTTGTTGCGTATGACTGAAGTTTTGGAATATTTTTGAACACTTGCTCCTTTTAAAAGATTTCTTTTCACCCTGGTAGGTCACATTACAAACCAGAGACCACAAATTTATTTCAAGTTCAATATTTTGGTTTTCAAAATCACAAACTTAACTGCAAACACTTCTCCATGTCTCCAAAATGGAGTATATGTCACATTGCTAAGAAATCTTTCGTTCCCAACATTGCGAGGTAAGAATTGTGCAGTGCAAGCCAGCATACGGTGATACTGCCCCATTTGAAAAAGACTGCCTGACAACCCGAGGAAGACGTTTTGGTCGGATACATGTGCAGCCCAGCAGATAATGCTTCAGAAAGGCAGGCTGAGGCTGAGCCCTCCTTTTCCCAAGCAATTTCCCCTCTGTGTCTCCACTCCCACCTCCTTAGGGACCTTGGCAGGGACTGGGGTGCAGACATTTCCCAGACTATGTCCTGCTGCTGGACCCAAGACACAGGCAGGCAGAGAACTGGGACAGAGTCTTGTCCCAGCACACGTTTTCTGCATTACAGTGCCTGGGAGGCATCAGCTTTTAGGAGAGGCAAAGGCAGAGATAAAGAAAATGTGCAGAAAGTACATAAAGATAAATGCCTGTAAAATCATTGCTGCTTTAATGCATTCCATATTGAAGAAATAAAAATGTGAATATTCTTGATGATTTAATGGCAATAGTGTCCAGCTAAGACCTGTTTGTTCAACGAGCCAATTAAGCTATTTATATGTAAATGTTTATAGTAGCTGATCTTGATTTTCAATTACAGTTCTGGGGAGCTAGTTTAGTGCAGAAAAATGCCTGCTAAATGTAGGGCACATCGCTTTCCCTCATGAAAGCTCATAAAGAAGAGGCGGATCTCTCCTGGCCCAGCAGCAACGCTGCTCAGGGAGGGCTCTCTGCCGGCGGCATGAATATTTAGTGCTACTGAACTAGCTCCTTTCTTCTGGCCCATAGATTGTTCTCAGTGGCTCATCTGTCAGCCCTGGGTTCAAATCCTGATTTTGATTCTTTTGAGCTCTGCAACCTGGAGGAAGTCATCTAGATCTAAGTATAAGTCATAGTTTCTCATCTGTAAAAGGGGATAATGACAATTTCTGTGTTGTGGATAAGATTAAATGTAGATAGTATTGCAGGTCAAGTGTGTAGCAGAGTACCTGGTACACTGTGAGCACAGGGTATATATATCCTATTATTATAATTATTGTTATTAATATTATCAGTATCATTATCTAGGGCTTCCTCCATATGGCTCACTACTTTGCAGAGCAGTGAAGCAGGAGTCAGTTTCGCATTTCTTTGACCACAGGCACGATCTCCAGAACGCATCATTTGACTTTCCAAAGTCTCAGTTCTCACACCAACAGAGGAGATATGATCATAACTTCCCTGTGTTCTCATGCTAGCTTTTTAAGAAAAATTTTCATCCTGAAATGTAGATACATCTAAAATCAACACTGTTCCCAGCTTTTCAAAAATCAGTAGACTGGCAGGACATTCTCACATTTTAAAACTAAAACTTTTAGGGATTTTAATTTGTATAGTTACTTCCGGAAAAAAGAAATCCTCAACTTTATCACTAAAATTGACCACATGGAATACAAATCAGATTATCATTAAACTAATGCTAAGATTAAGAAAAGAAATATTAATTGATTGAGAATTTGTATTAAATACTATATTCCAAAATATTGTTGAAATTTTATCAGAAATTAACCTATTCATTTAATACAGAGCCAATTAATATTGAGAATGTATTTGTTTTAGCATTTAACTGTTCCTAACCATATGCATCCCACCCTATGCAGGCACCAGGTGTTTGCAAACCGTGATACATTTTAATAGATTGTTAGAAATTCACTTCTAACAAGATTCAAAGCCACACAGCTGGCATAAAGCAGAGTTAACATTTGAATCCAGGTCTTTCTGTCATTAAAGCCCATGATTTTGCCACAAGACCACAGAGAGCTACTTTGCGTTTGTCTTGAGACCTTTAGCGCCTCACAAGTGTCTCGATCAAAGCTAGCAAACATTCACTGATTTATTCAAAATTTTCTGATCTCTTCCATATGGACTAAATGTAGGAAAGACAAATTCTGCTTTATTGCTGAAGCAATAAGAAATTCTCAAACGTTATGGAGTTACGTAAGATTATTCAGAAAGTTTCTCCTTATGTGAAGCATAGAAAAAAGCATTCATAGCAAGCTTATTTTTAGAGTTCATACTGTACATAAATACAATACGGATATGATTTTATCTGAAAATCTGAATTCTCTGAAACCCTGATATGATCCTCTTTGTTTGTAGACATAATTTGCTATCACATAGGCCCTAGTCAAGTATATTTAATTACCATGTGCTGTAGGGTCTTCTCCAAAGGTAGACCTCTGGGATGGATTGGTTATGATGTGTCAAAAGGCATCCAAAGGAGATGAGCTCCTCCCTCTCCCCCTATCTTGAATGCAGAATTCCCAACTATATTCTTCCATATTTTTGTGCTCAAGGCAAACCTAAACCACAAATGTTTACCTTTGATGGGGAAGAACTGAGGTTTGAGGAAGTCAAAGGCTCACTTTCTAACACACGTTGATGGCAAAAACGCTAGATCATGGAAACCACTCAAGAAAGTTGATCATCAATTTCTTAAGCACTGAAGAGATACCTAATCCCTCAAAATATAAGCCTTCTGAGTCACCCACGGCAACGTGACATCATGCCTAATGGGCCATGTTCCTCATCCCTAACTTGTTTCCAACTAGTAATGTGAACTTACATTGCAAATCCAGCACAGCCAAAGACACACAACCAAGCAAGCCGTGCTCACTCACTGCTGACATCGCACGACTATAAAATTTACCTCTCTAGTTCCGCAATCTTCTTATCCTTGTCATTCTTTTCATTCTCCACCTCCTTGAGGATCTCCAGCAACCGGTCAACTTCCGCCTGGGCCTTGCCACACTCGTTGCGGTAGTAAGATGCCTCTTTATCAAGTTGTTTCATTCGGTCTGCGAACTCGGGGTTCGTCCTGGAGTCGTCTTCAATGTTATGTGCCTTCAACATTACATTTTTAAAGAAGGCAGTTAAGACAACAATTTAGAACAATAGGTAGTGCAGTCACCAATGGCCCAGAAATTAACTTTGGGGAGAAAATAACCACCAAGAATTATGGGTATATTGTCAGTGCAAAGGCAAAATGGAAAAATCACACATTGCAGCTACTTTAGAATAATGTTGAATTTAACTTATACTACAGTTTCATAGGGAAGTTTCTTTTTATTATTGATATTTTGTTCCATTAAATATTGCTGCTACTTTTGGCTTCTCTTTCCACCAAAAAGAAGGGGATGGGTGGGGTTAGACACTGTGATGTCTTCATTCCAGGTCATTTGGCAAGCAGAACTAAGACAATTCAACTCCTCACAGTTCAGGAGATGATTCATACCAAATGCTTTCATTTTCAATGCAGAGAAACTGAAACAACACAATATTCAATTATTTTCCAAGAACCATCAAGGGCGTACATAAAGCCAGGCATCACAGAAGAGACTGGTTGACTGATTGACATTTCATCCCACTGAGAAATTTCAGCAGAAGATGTAGTTTGAAAGGAAAACTTAGAAGTGAGGAAGGCTTTCCAGCTAACAGTTATACCCATAAATTCTCGGTCTCTTGAATAAATTTAACCTAAACCAGGAGGAGGATGAGCTACTTCATGAACAAGCATATAGACAAGGATCTGCAAACACATGCATGGGTGGGTGGCAGCTTCACACACAAGAACAGACACAGGCAACAACACAGCAACAACACTGCAGAATAATTTGCAGCCAAAGTATTTGTGGTTTTGTGTGTGTGAGAGTGTGATGTGGCTTTTTTTTTTTCCCAAAATAAACTTTTGGCTGAAATATTCCCAGACAGATAGAAATAACACTGCACTGTGATGTTTTGCCTACCCCTTGTTTCCCATTATTCCTAAATGACTTCTTCAAAGAGCAGGCAGGGAAAAAACAAGTAATTTAACAACAGTGCACATTCAACATAGAAAGTTCAGAGAAGTCATATATGTATTTATCTCTAAAATCCACATGTGAAATAATAAAACATTAACAATTTGTTAGAACTTAAGTTGTTCTGCTGTCTTGCTATGTAGAGCAGATGTTTACTATGTTTTTATGCACTTTTTTTAATTTGAGGGAAAAAAACAAGGCAAGCAAGCTACAGCTACTATGGGGTCGGTCAAATGAATCATGCATGGTTAGAAAAATTAATACTAATACTACTATTAGAAGGTAGACAGTCTTTGCAATGATTTAGTAGCACAAATTCAGAAATTAGTATAAATAAAATAAATTTCTCACTTATGACAAAATAATCATTTTAAAAATAATATTTTTTGCTTGTAACATATTATTTAAGCATGAGGATGAAGGTGAAAATTTGTTTTCATGTTCTTAAATCTAAGATTTTCTTATTTAAGAAATAAACTCAACTATGCAAAAGAACTTGGGAAAAATATATGATAATTCAACATACTATCAGGTATTGGTTTACTCCCTTTTACCAGTATTTTTCAGAAAACATTTATTTTTGCTTATTATGTACTCTGGGTTTCATTATAATAGATTATTGAGATTTTTCAGTATAATTAAATTAATCTGAAGGAGAATTCTAGCTAGTATACTTTAGGATTTTATTCATCTAATAATTTTATTTTAAACTGAGGTAATGAATAAATTTCCTAATCTCTACTTTAAAAGTGTAGATATCCTATTTTAAAAGAATGTAAGTACTCCATATACTTACTTCTATTTGTGATAATGGGAATTAACTCGTTACTTTTTTGACGAAAAAAAAGCACTGCAATGTACAGTTTTTAAATAGCTAAGAAAAAAGCTTCATGTTAACCTCTCTTCCAATTTTATACTATATTACCATTATTTTACAGCAGCTAAAAACCTTTTTATGACATTTATTGAACTATCCAGCCAATACCAATTACAATTTTTAAAAAAGAATTAATGAATTGTGTAATGAGCAGCTAGAAAGACTCAAAAGAAATGAATAAATATATTTGGATTGCTTGTTTCTGCCTAGAGTTAAAATTCCTTTCCTGATTTTGGTTTATAAAAGTTCACAAAGAGTTTGCAGTTAGATGCTATGGTTTATATTAGTTATTTTTATTCTTACTATTATTATTGTCCTTATTTTTTCAGTGAGTACAGGATTACTAGATGTGAAACCTAGATTCTAAATCTAGCCCTTCATCTTACATCTATGGGCAGATGAATTAGCCTCTCTAGGAACAGCAAAACCTACATAATGACAACAGGAAGACATTATTCATTCGTGTTTTTATTAAGATGATTTTATATATGCATCACTGAAATGGGGCTCATTATACAGCTAAGTTAATAGGTTTACTTGATCTTCATCAACAAGATACTACATACTTCCTTAAAAAAACCTCTCTGATAGGTTTACAGAAAAAGCACAATTGACTAATGATAGGTATGTGCGCATATTTCTTATTTTAGTTCCTTAAAGAAAAGAGGATAATCTAAAGCCAGTTTTCAACACTGGGTGAAATCAGATGGATTTGTAGCCAATTCGCCCTAATATGTGAGTGTGGTTAATTGACTCACGGGATGTTTGGAGGTTCAGAAAGTCTAGGTAAAAGATTGCCTGGATCTAGACTGCACCACTGTTGACCTTATGTGACGCAAAAATTAGGTCACATTATTAAAATTAAGACCATAGCCAAATTTACAGCTGGCCTGGTATTTGTTAGATACTACTTGTGGGTGTTAATGGTCTTCTTTTTAATATAAATAGACAGGCTCAAGAATATCTGTGACTTAAATATCTCTATCACTGCATCTACTGATTTCCAGGCAAAAGAATTTATGTCAAACCCCCTTCAATCTTGGAGCCAAAATTCTTGGAAAGGCCATTACATAAAGATATAAATAGATATCATTTTTAAAAATTTTAAGTCATTTGAAAGCTTTAACAAAAAGTCATATAAGAGATGGAAGAGTAACAGCCGCTTCTTGGATACCACTAGGCCCCGTGTAAAGACAGTGAATAGGTGAGTATCCCACGATTGGGAAGGCCATTGAGTCCCCAGCCCATCCTGGGTCTTGGAGGAAAACGCCTCCTTGGCATTTATGAAAGGTATTATGAGATGCAAATCTATTCAGCATGAATCACAACTTTTCAGATGATGAGCTGAAATTTTTAACCAGTAGAACATAGAGTGTGTTATACTGTGATATACAGACATGGGGGTGATACCATACCAAATAAATACAGGAGGAAATTGAGCTTATGAAGCCAATGTTTCCTTCAAAATAGTAAGGACAGAGCCTCCTCTAAAAATGAGAGTGAAAGAAGGACTTTATTTGTATTTAGGCAATACTCTTGCCTTTTCAAATATAATATGAGTTCTTTAATCTGGACTGACTGCTCCTGGTGGAGATCAAAAGTGGGTAACAGATTTGGGCCTAACATACTTTCAACACTGTACAAAAAAATAGATTTATTTGAATAAATCATTAGCACAATAAATTACTACCATGGCATTCTGACCCATGCAAGATGTAAATTGAAAATGCATAGTAATTCTCTGCCCTTGAGAATCTGTTGGTTTGAAATTAGCTCAACCACACTTCCTAGCAAGGGAAGTGCTTGCCTAGTCTATTCTTTTCAGGCACATCAACTACATCCCCCATCTTCATTAGTTAAGAATCTAACTCTTAAAAATGAAGATTGATGTGGATTTTCTTTTAACAGTTTCATAACTTATATGTCATTAATACAGCCAAGAACACTGTACCGTTCAAGGACATCCGCCGGTTATTAAAACCAAAGGGATATCAACAGACATTCTTTTCTTAATGTAGAAATTTAATTTTGCTAATTAAACTGGTGCATTTAAAGGCAAATACATCTATCTGGTTCTGTCTAAAAATATTATCTGAAATGTTTAAAGCAACTCTCAAGCCCTTTGTTAGACACACAGAAAATTGAAAAAGGACATTTCAGAAATGTCTGTATTATGTATTAGATCAGTAAGTTTTAAGGGACTCCCAATTATGTTCCTTGTGCTTCCATATGTAAAGAAATTTCCCCACAAATGGGAATAATCAAAACAAAATTTGGAGCTTCACTGATGTGGTCAACCCTTAGCATTCTGATGTGAACTGATTTTGAAAGGGTGGATCAAGCACAAAGGAGAATCTGGTCATGACTTGGGATAAGCAGTACACTACAATACCTAGTAGTTATTCTAATGAAAGAATTTAGAACATTTCAGGACATACGGCAAAATTTCAGATTAATGCTATCTCTAAATCAACGTGAAGAAGAAAATGTGGCTAAAGCCAAAGTGGGGGGGGGGATGAAAAGTATCAAAATCATACATCACAAGTTCATTCACAGTTACTCTTAGAAAGGTTGGTCATTGATTATTTTCAGTAAAATGCTAGTTCATCATTCCATATGCCTAGAAAGGAAAGCATTAACTTTGGTCCAGAAACCTGCTGGGAAACAAGGCAGGGAATATTCAATTATAATATTATATAACACTTTCCCTTTGAAATGGGTCCTAACAATTTTAATACAAAATGATTTCCCTCAAAATAAACAAATGCTTAGTCATGACCAAAAGTACAAGCAGAATGTTAACTAATGAATCTGACAACTTCTCTTTCCTGTTGCTTCTGGGTTTTAGCAATAATTTGCTAAGTTTATGCACTGTAAAAATACGATTCTTGACTACGGCACTTTGGTAGTTTAGTGTCTGCTGACAGCACTTTGACATTCCTTTCATATCTTAACAGCAGAACAGCAGATATAAACTATTTTAAACATTATATTTGATTTCAGTCTTCTAAAAAGAAGTTCCTATCTTCTCATAATTTAAATTATAAACAAAATATTACTTCTTAAAACAAAGTTTTTAAGGGTGATTATGGAACTGCATACAACGTGTTAGATCATTTAAATTTCATTTTAAATACAATGAATTAATACCAGGCATAAGAGCTGAGCCTAAATAATACATTTAGAAACTAATAATGATGTATCTTGAGTTCTTACACTTCCTAGTTTCAAAGGAAATTACTCTTTCATAATTTAAGCTATGTTCACAACTTGCATATTAAAAGAGTCATACCAAAAAGAAAATTTTTTCATAGATAGAATAGGATATGTATAAATAAATATAAACAAATATTCAAAATAATTTTTCTTATGTCACACACATGCAAAACAAGAAGAATCAATTGTATGCTTAATAACTTAAAGAACCCTCAAACAAAAATGTAATAATTAATACAATCCTTTTTAACTATAGAATTTCCTACAATTAGCAATGTAGAGAACTGAGGTACTTATCTGGATGTCCTAAAACAAAACATGTAAATTTAAATGTTAAGTGCTATTTCAACTATTACTTCATTTTTTTAGACACTGAAATCCTGGATCAATGATAAGGTATGTGCTTGTGTGTGTACATGTGTTTGCACATGCTATGTGTATGTCCTGAATTATCTCTTAAATAGTTGTAATTTTCCACTGTCCTCGGAGATACTAGTCTAAGAGTGAATCAAATAATTTTCAAAAATAGGCTCACAGAATCTTATTGAAGAAACTGCTATATCCAAACAATGACTGTGTGAAAGCGTTTATAATTCAGCCTTTCATGCTCCTGGGCTTGCACAGTCCTAGCATGCTGTAACAACATACAAATCAGGAAATCTTCATTAAATGCTAACAAGATTATTTTCTCCTCAGGAGTAGAAAGATGCTCATGTGTTTGTTGTGTTTTGTTCTATTTTTCGTAAACCCTTACATAAAATATGAGCCCTGAAAAAGATGTGTTCAGAGGAGATGGGGTTTCAAACTGATAACCACCAAGCTAGGGGGAAACTCACATGTTTGGGGAACATCAGAGGAGTCTCACATGTGCTCTGCCAGTAGTGAGGTGGCTCCCAGAGCCTCCAAATCATCCATCTGCTTTGTAGCATTGAGGGTATTGAAAAAGCACTAAATTGAGGGACCAAGCGGTCTAAAGTTTTATTAAAATTTATAAAAGACTCCTGATACCATCTCTGGGCACAAAAACACTAGGGCTACAGCAAAGAAGGTATCTGAGGCTGAGGAGAAACCATATTGTTTGTTTAGCATTAAGAACTGAGAAAAAGAATCCAACTGAAGATAGCTGCACAGTATTTACAACGACAAGACAAAACTCCTCCACAGTAGAGACTGGTAGTTAAGCTGCAGAAACGTTATTGTCATAAGAAATAATAAGGATACACAAAGGCCCAATTTTAGGTTCCAAAGAAATGGCATCAGAGTATCACTTAGTACAATGGAATGACTAAAGTAAAAGGAGACAAAAAGTAAAAGGTTTATTTTTACTCTAGGGGAAAAAAAAAAACAACCTTGCAGGAGCACTTCAAAGCTTAATCCTTATTTACTCTGATGTAGTGTAGACTGTCAGATATAGAACTGACTATAAAATTATCTTATTTAACAAAAAACAACTGTTATAATTCACCAAAAAATTATAGAGTAGCCATATTCAAAATAAACATACAAGAATAATAGAAATTTCCTAGGTACCAATACCTGGTTAGAAAACAAAAGAAAAATATATCATTCACAATGGCAACCTAAAAATTATATATGTAGAAATGCTTAAAACTATCTTTAGAAATATCACAGCCTGTAATAGGAAAATATCAAAACTTTACTTTAAAAAAACCGCTGAAATAAATAAAAGTTGTATCATGTTCATTTTTGGGAAGTAATAATATTAGAAACACATCAATCATTCTAAAAATATTTTATAGGTTGAATATAATTCAAATTAAAATCTCTAACAATTGAGTTTTTTAATTGACAAGGTGATCCTGAAATTGATTTGGAATGACAGGAAATTAAAGCTAAAAACATCAAAATAAAACAAGACAAAATGAAAAGCAGAAAGAATTAAGGTGGAATTTGTATTACCAGATGTATAAAAATACTATAAAGCCACATTAATTAAAATTTTGACCCAAAAGGAGACATTGATAAAACTGAACAGACACTCGGAAACTAAGACATTGATCCATATGAGAACTTAGTGTGCAATGAAATAGTATCAAGATCAGTGGATAAAGAGAGAATTATTTGATAAATAGTGCTAGAATAATTAGTTGATAATTTAGAACAATATAGGTAGAACCCTTCAACATGAATCAAAATAAAGATAAAGGGGTTAAACTGATTTACAAAGTAACTTTAAAAAATTTTAAATATAGGTAAGTGAAATTAGAGTGTACTTCAAAGAATAAAAGCAATGAAGAAAGCTTAAAGAAAAACAGAGGTCAAGAACTTCAAAATAATTCTCTCTCTCTATAAAAACTTTTAAGTTAAATAAAACTGCCACAAATCTGATTCTATATAAAGCATAAAATAACACATAAACCAATAAAAAAAACAGTAAACTCAAAAAGCAAGTGCTTAAATGACAATTTACAGAAGAAAAAATACAAAGAAAATAAATGCATTTTTAAACCTCAACTTCACTAGTAATTAAAGAAAGGAAAGTTAAAAAGGAAAAAGATTTCTACCTAAGCATTTTTCAAATTTATGTAAAATGACAATTCTTGATATTGGCCAGCATATGGCAGAAAGGCTACCTTTAATCAGTGCTGGAAGAAGTATGCTTAGGTGAAATTTCTCTGAAATGCAATATAGTAGGAACTATTGGGGTCTTTTAAAAAATCACTGGCCCAGGAATTTCTTCTATAAAAAACATATGGGGAAATTAATACAGAAAGATGTTCTTTAGAGCATTATTTAGCTAGCAAAAAAAATAAATAAATAAGGGAAGAAATGACAAACATTAGGGGAATGAGTAAATAGAGTAAAATAGGATAGAATAGTATTTTGGAAGAAGAGTGAATTATATGGGAAAATTCTAATGATGTTAAGAAAATGGGACATAAAACTGAATAAATACTTTGACACAGTTTGGTGAAAAGAAATAGAGTGCTAGATAAGAAAGAGAAGGAAAAAAAAAAGAACAAATGAAAGAGGGAAGGAAAGAAGGAATAAGAAAGAGAAAGAAGGAGCAGAGAGGAAAGAAAGATGAAAAGAGAAGGAGAAAAAGAGAGAAAAGACCAGCAACAACAGAAAGATGTCTGGGTAGGGAACCACACAAATGTTATAGTGATTATCTCTGTGCAGTGAAATGCCCTACGATTGTTTTCTTCCTATAGCCTTCCATACTTGTGCAAATTCTCTACTGTGATCATATATTATTTTCATAACTAATAAAAACAGTCATTTTTTTAAGTCTATTAAGGCTAGAAAATCCATCAAGCTGCATCCCTATCAGTCCAAAAAGAATTGGGCCCTGAGAAAATCAGCAGACAGGGGAGTTAAAATAATGAGAGTCTGGCTATATCCCCAGGATGCCAAACCAATGGGTTCGCTTAATTAACGTGGGGAGAAAAGTCAGCCAGTGACTTTTGAATTGGTCACTGAAAAGACTGAAAAGTTTGCTATTGCACATTGGAGACTGGGTGAAGTGAAGAAAACGTTCGTGATGCCACGTCATCAATATTTCTGGAAATGGCCTAAAAGTTAACAGAGCTATTTCTTTGGTCCTACCTATCCTGACAGGGATAGTGAACTCATATCATGGTCCTGGCACAATTTTGCTGCTGCAGGAAAAAAAGCTTTCTTCATCTGTCCTGCATACACTTAGGTTTTCTTCCTAACTAGTAAGTATGAAACAATTTCAGTGGGATTACTTTATACTTTTTTAAAACAATCTGAAGAAAACATTCATTGTTTTTCCCAGGGTGAGGTTTTGAGCATGACGCTATTCCAATCCTACTTGTCTGTCTGTACGTCTCCAGCTTTGAGCCTGCTTATTAAGACTTCCATTCAAACACTAAGGGCGAAGAAACTTGGGTGGATTATTTTTTGCTGCTCTGCTTAAATCCCTATTTGGAAAAAGAGGTTAACATAGATGCTCCAACCCGGCTTTAGGAACTCTGTTAAAATGAAATTTGTTGCCATGAATGGAGGGTGGAGGCTGCATCTATGTAAGTACACAGCATCCTGCATATCAAGCTGTATGTATGCTGGAGCAGAGGCTTAACAAATCAAAGCTGTTGGCTGTACTGTTTGCTTTCTCCGTGCTATTCCTTCTTCCCAGAGTGGGAATTAGAATGCATGATAGCATATTGCATCTGCCAAATGATAAATTCTAGCCACCTTTATGGAATATTTTCCCCAGAAAGCCATTTGAGTTGACAAAACAAAACAGCCTTTCTTCTTTAGTAAGTTAAAGAAACAAACTGCTTCATATAAATGCACACGTCACTAGGATAAAAAAAAAAAAATTGTGGTGGCATCTGGACTGTTTTATAAATATTTTTACTAGTTACCTGTTTTTTGTACTCTGTTAAGCTATAATCAGAATTGTTACTATTTGTTATTAGGAGACTATATTATGGTATGTCCTCAGCCAAATGGCATGTTTTTAATTCTTACAAAACCCACAATAATGTTAGGTATTTACCAATCTCAAAGAGCATAGCCCTAATTTTAAATCTAAATCATATTTTAACTTTTATCACTTGAATACTATATATACTCAATTGTTTGTTATTTTACAAATGCTATTATCCCTTTTGGCATAGATAAGTTTGTGTTTGCAGGCTTTGAGGAATAATTCTATAAGCCTAGATCTTCAGCTGACTTCTGTTGCTCTATAGCCTTAGAGCTAAAGTTAAGAAGGAGGTAATATCAGAGCTAGCAGTATTTCCTTGAGTTATTAATTTTTAAATTGCACATTCAAAAGAAATGGCAGTAGCCTCTGCACAGATCATTTCTTTTGACAGAACGGAAACAGAGAGACTTGTAAATATTCTCAAAGCCTCCTTAGCATGGCACACGGTGACATGTAATCAGTGGATCCTCATGCTTTGATATGTTACAGCGGGAACTTTCAGAAATGACTTACTGGGTTGTACATCTGATTGAACAACTGCTCAGCTTGCTACATTGCAAAGTTGGGAAGGCATTGAAGCACAGACAAGGAAAGAAGGAAAGATCCAGAAAAACAGCATTAGCTCAACAGATCCAGTGCATTCGCACAGACAATCTGGTCGTTAAAAAAGGAGAAATTTCAGTTTCTAAACATTCCACAGTGAAAGTGAGAAGCTCTAGGGAAATACAAATGTTGACTTTGGCTCCTAAAAAAGAATATCTGGAATAAGAAATTTAAGGTTTGTGTTACTTTCCCTTTCTCAAGTTAAATAACCCATGATATAAAGAAAGCTGTCCACTTTTGATGATACATGAAGTGCTGGTCTCCAGCAATGAATCAGAAGGAGTACTTTTGGCCAAGCCTGAAATTTATTACCTGAATTTCAAAAATGGTAATAATAAAAGATTAATTAAATCTTATCATTGAATTTATAGCTCTTCTTTTATATTAACACAAGCCTGAATTTTCTATTCAGTCTAACTTCAGAAAAATATGGATTAGCAAATAGCAGGTTAGCAATAGCAAAATATCAGTAAGCAAGACATTATTGGATTAACTTAAATGGGAGAAGAAAAACTTTAAATCAGTAGGAAGTTTAAAGGGAACCAAAATACAGTATTATCCATTGCCTATTACCAGTTTCTACTGTTAGTTCAGAATTAATAAAAAATATAAATTTCAGAAATATCCTATTATGTTCCAAGTACTTTAGAATCTATTAATGCTCTCCTGTCTATTTTGTGCAGAAAATTTAAATGTACCAAATATTATTTTAAATTGCACTCCCAAGTTACATTTCTTAAATACCTACACCATGAATTTGGGATTGGAGTCAAGGTGTAGAGGGGAAATATTGCAGAAACTGTTCCTTTCCTTTAATCTAAGATACACTTTTTAAGAGAGAGCCTGGATTTCTTGTTCCTTCAACTTAGGGGATATGAGTGATGATTTTTATCACCCTTTAAGAAAACACCCTCCTCAAGCATGATATTAATTGAAAAATTACTAAAGAGCATAAATCATGACATTTTGAATTGCTGTTGCTTCTCAATTGATTTCTGGTCGCACAGGGTAAATTTACTTCTATATTTTGAACTTCAAATACCCTTTTGAAAGCCAAAATAATCCTCATGTCAATAATAAAGTTCTCTTCAACCCCTGGGTATCTATTTAAGATTGATGAATGCACTTAATCATAAAGCATACTCATAATTAGCAATTATGCATTATTTATTTGGCTAGTATCATTTTATTAGCCTCACTGATATCACTAAGGATTTCCTTATACATGAACATTTGACTATGGTTTTTAAGAGGTGGGATGGAATGTGTAAGAGATAGTTCCTTTTCTGCCCATGACCATTTTTCATCACAAGGTATTTGAAAATGTCTCAAATTAACACAGTATAGTAAAAGGTTAAAAGTAACTATGTGTATGAATGTTCTCCACAAACTTTTATGTAAAAAAACTGACTTTGCCAATGCCAAGCACTGTCCATAAGACAAAAATAAATTTAAATCACCATTTGGATTTCAGCGTCACTAGCAGACAAAGTTTCTGTTCAACTAAATACTTCCACAATGTTGTATAGATTTCGTGACAAAAATACCTGCACACTCACAAATCTTGAGCAAAATTCCATTGGGAATTCATGGTGTATTTATGACATAATAAAACTATTATGTTTTCAGCTTTCATTTAGTAAACCTTTATATTTTATTCACAAGTCACATACACTTTTATTTAAAAAGAGGCCCAGACACTCCTTAAGCTTTTATAGCTGCTTATTTTTCCATGAATAAATGATGTGTTTATATGTATATGTACATACTGTTGGCTTATAATTTCAAATATTTCATGTAGATCTCAATTCTTTTTAAGGTGATGGGTATTTGAGGTTTTTATGAAACTATTTATTAGCAGAAATTAAAGACTACTGAAAAATATTTTAAACTTTTGAGTTTAGTTTATGTCAGACAGCCAAACATAATAAAACAGCATCTGCAGGTTAGGCATAAAAATATTTAAATTATCATTACCTTATTTAAACTCACTGTGCTATGCATTTAGGAGATAGCATAAGCAAAGATTATATGTATGCCTAGAAATAAGTTATCTTTTCATAAATTAAATAGGTCCTTTACAGCAAGACAACTATATTTGTTACTTAAATTGTGGTTACCTGGTAGACTGTTAAAATGCTGTCAGGAATAATGCTAAAATGTTTACAGGATTTGGTCTGTGAATTTCAGTACATGCTCTCTACCTAACAGTCTAAGGAAACCACACACTCTAAGTGATCTCTTGGGTAAACCACAGCTATGTTGACAGAAACTATATTGAATTGCACAGATGTTGATTTATTAAACTAGTCAAGTCATGTATGTGGAAACTATAAGCACTGACATGTGAACCTCTTCCTTTTAATTACTAGAGGATTTCAAATTCCATAGATGACTTATACTAAAAAGGAGGGTGTCGCTCATGTATCTGCAAAAATAATAAACGGGGTATCCTTATCTCCGTAACAGCTCATCAGAGTGAATGCAGGGCATCGCTCCTGCCCAGGTCTACCTGAACTCCTCCCTAGTCCAGGCCCAGCACACTGTAACTGAGGTGAGACAGCACAAATGACCACCGTAAGGAGCCAATGAATTTCTCTCTTTTACAGAGTTATCTTGGAGCCCGCCTTATGATCATAAAATTGTTTCATTAAAAGAAAATTATCTTCCATAGGTTTATTTCTTGACATATATGGGCATGTATAACATTGTAGAGCACATTTATCTAAGTCATGAATGTGTATCACACACCCAATGCTTAAATAGCCAAGTCAATCTCCGTGTAAACACCCTCAAATGGGCAATGCTAAACTCTTTTATTTATTGTTCAAGATTGCTGCTTAACTAAATTGCTTGATATAAGTAAGATGCTGAGTGGGTTGGGAAATAGATCTTGTTAGATAGAGATTTTCTTGCTGTTTTGTTATTAAAGAATTTGACCTGTATATTTATCTTTTCCTGTATTAGTAAGTAGACTTTCTTAGTGTGAAATTTCTCATGACAATTTCCTAAAAGTCACTGTAAAGTGAGCACAGCAAGTCACATTTCAGTTAAATACTGCATCATACAAACTGTAGATTAAATTTTAAGATATCCAGAATAATTCCTCCACAGACATGATCCCCTCACATCCTTGACTATCTTGTCATGTATTTTCATAACTTTAGCTAATAAATCCCCATTCCAGTGTGCTGTGAATTATATATAGTTGAATTTCATTATATGCTTTATTGATTGTTTATATTCTTATAATCTTTTTTGAATAAGTTTATAAGTTGTCAAAGGGAAACAAAATGCTTAAACTCATAACGCTATGAGTTTCATGTGAACAATGAGTGCAGACGTACCAAACAACACAGAGAAAAAGTCAAAGGAACAATGCATGACTGGAAATGCACTCCACAAAAATGTCCAGGTCAGAGAAAACATGTTAATGCCGCAATTAAAGATCCTGCTTTCTTTGCCAAACCCTTCTGTATACAACAAGCTTTCTTAGACATTAAGGCCATTTTTGGATATGCCGGGAACTTGACTATTTTGGTGAACTTGTAGAAATTTAATGACATCAGAAAAACTTTCGCAAAATTCTAATACAAAAATTGACCTACTTTTGAAACTAGTAAAAGCTTACCAATGTATAATGGGGCCCCTGGATTCTTTGGTTTGTTGCAAACATTTTTATTTATCTTTTTTGATAGTTGAGGTTTTCCCAGAGAGTAATGGCTGGCTTTTATAATATTTTTCACTTTTACTAGTATTTTCATCTATTTTTCAAGTTTTCTTTAAACAGGAAACCTAAGATAATTTTTCTGGTTCACAGACAGATTTGACGCAGACTTCTTAGCAGTTAGGAGTGTTTAATTAATTCTTTTATCAGCAGACAGCAAAAGATAAGGGGTTTGTTTCCTTTGAAAAAATGTCTCTTCCTTTCCCATTTTATAGATTCATTTTAAAATGGGCATGTTTTTTCTTACACTTCACTTACCTTTTTTAACTGTGCTTCCAATTTGCTACATTCCTCTTTCTTTTGTTCGATGGCTATTTCTAGAGATTTTAACTTGGAGTCCCTTTTCAGCCCTGCAGAGGCTAATGAAGATGCATGTTCTTTGAGGTCAATTAAACTAGACTGAAAGAGAAAGAATGCTAGTGAGTAAAACACTGCATGTTCTACTAGCAATGTCTTCAGCTTGAACACATTGATTCTATGCACAGCAATAAAGTGTGCAGGAGACAGAAGGGTCAATATAGTCTTACTAAGGTAACAATAGTCAGCTCTGGCCAGGAAATTAAAGTTGGCCAGCTTGCAGAATGGAGCGGGATCTAATTGCAGAGAATCAAATGTGACCAAATGGTGTGGTCAGTAAATGCACGTTTCACGTCTCAAAACCATGCTAACGACGTAAGTCCCAAGGCAGTCTTTACATGTCATAGCAAAACAGACACCCTGAACCTTCCGTTCACATTTATTGCTGTCAGGCCATGTAGATCCTGAGATGAATATGAAAGAAATTACTGACTTTAATGCTTCCTCCTCTCTCCCCGCCTCAAAGGGTAAATCAAATATAAAGGAAGCATCCTATTAAATTTTTATCAAACCCCATTTCTTTAACACAAAAAAATGACCAATGTCTTTTCAAATTTCTCCTGGAGAATCAAACACGAAATTATTTTAAAATTTAGAGTAAATTTTATGTTTTAGTCCTTTACATCCAGATACAACGGGTATACTGAACTCTCCCCACTCAGACATGGCGTTACCTAAATTGTTTCAGTCACCAATCATGTCCAAAATCCAAAAACTTTCCTGTGAAGTCTAAATCACAAAAACTAAATAAATACTTGCATGCATCACTGAACATGACTTTACTACCTAGAAGGGTGTTATTCATCCACAAATATGAAATGGTTAGCAACATCTAACTATGTGACTAAAATGTTCAGTTTTTCCCCCAAATAAGGTTCTGTGCTTTTCCTTTTTATCCACTGCAGCACCTAGGAAGATACTAAACATAATGTGGTCTCTAATAAATGCAGTTGCCTAATACTTTATGCTGGGCTGCTTTGTGGCACTGGAATGACCCTGATGATGAAGGTCACCACCACCAAGCAAGGTGTTCCTAACAACCTTCTGAGTAACAGGTTAGCCATTCTCATTTTTCAGGTCAAGAAATGGAGGTTTATATTAGCTGAGTGTCTTATCAAAGATCCCTTACCTATTAAAGGCAGACACAGGTCTCAAATCTGGGTCTACAATTCAAATTACAATGCTCTTTACTGTATCAACTTCCACAGAAATAATAAGGACCTTGTAATCCAGTCATTTTGTCATGGTGAAGATGTATCATCACTTCAGTTAAATTATAAGTTCCCTGCTGCCAGCAATTATATGTTGTTCTTCTTCAAAAATTTTTAAATGCTAGATGTGATGGCCAGTTGTACCTCATTGGGCTAGGCTATAGTTCCCAGTTACTAATCTAGGTGTTGTATGAAGGTATTTTGTAGACATCACTAACATCTACAATCTGTTGACTTGAAGGAGATTATCCTCAGTACTCTGTGCGGGCCCAATTCTATCAGCTGAAAGGCCTTATGAGCAGAACTGAGGTTTCTCTGAGGAAGAAAAAATTGCACCTGTGGGTTGTAGCATCAGCTTCTGTCTGGGAGTTTCCTCCTGATGGCCTACATGATGAATTTCAGATTTGCCTAGCCTCCACAACTGTGTGAACCCATTCCTTGTAATAAATTTCTTAATCTGATTAAAGTTTTTTAACATAGTTCTATTTTACTAGCAGAATCCTGACTGACACACCCAGCCCAGTGGCAAGCACATTATACAGAACAATACATGCTTCTTAGAATGCCTATCTGAAATGCACACAACATTGGTACTGTGTACAAAGCTCTTGTCATTTGAAGCTCATGTTCCACCATCACCAAGATGTCTTTTAATTAGAAGTATATGCATTGGTTTGAAGGTGCCAAGCCACAGATCTTCCAAGGCAGAATGAGCAGTGAAATAGTAGGAAGAAGACTTAAATTCTTTATTTCCATATCAGAGAAATAATATCCTCTCTAAAAAAAATTAGTGGGCTTAAATTTTAGGGAATCTGGGTTTTGCTTCTGGGTATCCTCAAAACTCCTCTTACTCATCAACTTGTTTCCTCCTTCATCTGGAATGGTAATTTAGACAGGACTTTAATTTGTACTGAATTATCAATACCCGAAGGCCAAAGTAATACTTAAAGCTTGGAGACAGATCACTGTGCAGTGGTACAATCTGGCAGGATGCAAGGGCCTGTAACAGTCCTAAAAGAAATGGACATTTCCTGCAGACAAAGATCAGTGTGAAAGGGCCCTTGCAGACAATGACACATATCTCAGAGTTGCAGAGATTGAATAAAATAATGTGTACTACTGCTTCTCCTAGTTCTCCACCAAAGTATCCCCAAGAAAACTGATAGGGTTATAGGCATCCCTTGGAGTACAGGGGGTATAGCCCAAAGCATCCTCTCCAGAATCCTTAAGCAAAAAATTTATTTAAAGTATATTGTTTTACATTAAAACTTCAGGTGACTTTTACATTCTTCATGTTTGCTATAGTATAAAAATACTGCTTTAAGTTATTTACTACAATGTAAAAAATAATATTCCAGGAAAGCAGCCACATATAACCCATACCTATGTCCAGCATGGTAGCACATCTCCTAACCTGAGGGTACTGCTGGGTGACCCTTCGAGAAGCACACATGAATATAAAGCATCCAACACAAGGATTAGCATATAAAAGACCCTCAATAAAGTAGAGCTATTATGATTATTATTATCGATGCTGTTGTCATCTCAAGCAAAGGATCACGGGACTTTGAAAAACTACAGAATCTTCTAAGCCAAGCAAATGTGATAAGATATAAAAGTTTCAAGGAGCTATACTGTAGATGGCCAGCAGAGCAGAGAAGACATGGATAGGGCATGTGTGATGAATGAAGTTACAGGAAATAATTTCCTTGGAATTCAGGCAGCTTTACAAAAGAAAGGCTCCCACATTCCCAAGCCTTCACACAATCCCTCCAACTAAGTCTCTAGTCTCTTGCAGCTACGATGAATATAGGTTTATGAGAATTATCAACGTGGTTCACTTGTTTTTCCAGACTCACCTCTTTCTCAGTCAGTTCAGCTTGTAAAGCATTGACCTTCTCTTTCAGGTCTTTGTTCTCTTTTCGGAAGGATTCTATCTCTTCTAGTCTTTCCCGATCATCTCTCTCTCGTTGTTCTTTTAAGCGCTCAATTATTCTCTCCTTCAAGGCAACATTCAAAAAAGAAGAGGTGAGAACTCATCAGTGTACATGCCAAAGCATACTACAAAAGAAAATAAGAGGTAACACATCTAAGAAATGCTCTACAAGAATCAACACGCACAAGAAACTCAAAACTGGGTTTGCGCAGAGAGGCTATGTATAACAACATTGGGGAAAGACAGTGGAGACAGCTTTTGACTTGTTGATAAAAGCTAGCATCACAGGGCTGCAAGGGATCTTAATGCTTAAGCTCTGAGGCTGTGCTTGGCTCATGGTGGTATCTAGCAAACTCCTAGAGCAGGTCTAGAAGAGGGAGGTCCAGGCACCAAGACTCTAGACTTGCCAAAGTCTTGCACAGGCAAGGGAAAGAAGCAGAACAGACTTCTCGGCTCAGGTCCCTTTGCTCAGCCTCCCCAGCTGGCATCAAAGAACCTTCTCTGGTTTCTGAAGACGGTTTCTTTGGTTTCTCCAGCTAGACAGGGCACTGAAGGAGAGCAGGACCTAGGCCCTCCCACACTTAGATCTGGACTCCTAGTGAGAACATGAGACAAGATATACAGCCTATTGTATATATGATTTCCCAATGTGTCTGGAGATGTTTGTTTCTGTGTTTTGTTTTTTTTTTCAATGGTTTCTTTACAGTTAGTAGAGACACCAAAACACTGGTTGAGTCTGAACAAAGTTCAAAGAGCAGCTTTCCTTCACTGAGGTGCTGTGAGGTGCCCTCCTCATTAGTCCTCACCACACCTGCAAGAGCAGAACCAATGCCACTGGTGACAGGGCAGAGGTGAGGAAACCCAAGGCTCAGAGAGGAAAGGTGGCCCAGCTCAGGAACAGCAGGCCCACCCTGGCATCTGGGGCTCTCGTTCTCAGCCAACCCACAAGACCACAATGCCACAGACACAAGTCTGGAGCCATCAAAGAGATGTGAAGGTCTGCCTTTCACTTTCATACTGAAATGAAACACTGCCCTATGTTTTCCAAAAACAGGGAACCTGACTGATATCAATGTAAAAGCTTTCAAGAAAAAGAAAGAAAGAAAGAAAGAAAGAAAGAAAGAAAATTCCATCTGAGTAAAGCTTGAGTTAGATCTCTGAAATTAGTTTCAAATTATCCAACACATATCTGAACTTCCTTTTGGATGACCACGTTAAAAAATATTGGTGTAACAACTGTGCCTAAGGATCCTGATATTCTATTTTATATTTTTATAAGTATGTAGCACAAGACAATGCCTGATACAGAGGACAGCTGTAAATAGTATTTAATACAGAGGGAAGACACTTAGCCTGTGATTTAAGATCCCTCGAGGATCTGTTCTATCCCAGTGAAAATAACTTATGTATCTAATGCTTTCAAGGGGAAAAAAAGTACCATTACTGTTTTGCAATTATTTAAAAACACTTTAAGTGAAGTATATTATTACAACAGCAGGGGTAAAAATAGAACAAATGAGTCTATTAATTGCCTGCATTTGTTTCTTCTTGATTCCAGTTACAGTCACACTTTCCTCAACCCGTGACCATGACGAGTGGATGACTGCTTGATCTGCAAAAGGAGGAGACGGCCGCGTGCGTGGTAAGTCTCCCCAGGGTGCTGCCCTTGGCATACACGACTACTGACCACCCAGCCACCAGGCCCTCTCCATCCCATCACTTCTACTACAGGACTGTTGGAGTGGCATTTCTAAGGCTCCAAACTGACCATGTCACCTCACTATTTGGAAACCTTCCCAGGAATCCCTCTGGCCGGATCAGGTGGCACTTACTCCCACTCGGCACCCTTCACACGGTTTCGCTGCGTGTCCGTCCTGCCAGCCCTGCTTCCCAAGGGTAGCACTAAAATCCTATGACTCTTTTTAAGCCAGCGCCAGGCAAACGGTCTGGCCTTGTACAGGCAATTAAAAAGCCTGAAGGAAGGAAGGAGAACTCAAATGAGGGATCATCTTGGCTTCAAAGGAAGGGTAATAAAATTAAGCAGGCGTGTTAACAGCCAGAAGGTGTCAGAATCATTTGGAAAGTAAGTTGATTTGTTCTAAGCACTTGTACTATTGACTGGGCATTGATGACAAAAAAAATCAGCAAGCACTATAATGTTTTTAAGTGTTATTGATGATTCAATACTACAAAATATTTTTCCGTCAATCACAAAACTAATTTAACTGTCAGCTGCGCAGGGCCAGATGTCAAAAACATGTGTTAAAAGGCCCTAATATGCCATGATCTACTTGATTAACAACTAACTTGCAGAAATTCCAACAATGTGTTCTTGTTTTAGTCTTATTTGCATTGGCGGCGTTCCTTGTGCACACATCTGGCTCTGCACAGGTCTAATCTATTTGTGCTTTATCACCGGTGGGAACTGCATTGCAGTGGCCTCCAGCTCTGCTATCTGGCTTTCTCAGCTGCTTATCTGCTGTGTGGCTACAGCAAGGCTTGGCGAGACCTGCTTTATAAATACAGTGGGTTCTATCTCTTGACTTCTGTGTGTCAATCCTAGAACGGAGTCATACTCAATCTTAACTCACTGAGCAGCATTATTTTTTGCACACTCTTAATAGTTGAATACGTTCCTGGGAATTAAAAGGAATAACACACTCCCTGAGATGCCATAATCCAAGGGAGGTCATGAATAGTACCTGATAGATTCTATTCATCACTCAAAAGACAGCACATAATTAAATGTACATATAAATCCCATGGTTTTTTATTAATCATTTTAGTTTTTCACACCATGCCTTGTTCCAAAAGTTCTGTGCAATTAAATCTGGATAAAAATGGAACTTGTGAGGGAAAGGACATGTAAAGGAGACAGTGATATTGGCAAAAGCACAAAGATCAGAAGGTTTCTGTTTGGGTCCTATTCTATCACCTGTGACTGAGTGGCCTCGGGCTAGTCCAGAGGAGGCAACAGAGTCTCAACCAAGAGCCAACGCAGGGTGGAAATAGCTTCTGAGACAGCTGGGTTGAGAAGTTAGCACATGTCACAGGTGATTAATGATGTCTGTCCAGGCCCAGAAACAGGGAATGATGCTGCACATATCTGAAGTGTTCACTTCTGGGCAAGGCATTTCAACTTATTAAGCCCATTTCCCATATTTAAAATGGAAGAGCATGGATTTGGTGTTTTTCAAAGTGTAATCTTCTGAACCCTGACATCAGAATCTGTGAGCAGGCTTCAAAATCACAGGTTCCTGGGCTCCACAGGAGAGCAACTGAATCAGAACTCAAGGAAATGGGACCCAGGAAACTGTATTTTAAGAAGCTATATAGGTGAAAAGATTATTTGGATACATCCAAAGGTTTGATACTCACTGGAATCAATACTTAAAATGAATCTTGTATTCTTTGTCCTGTGCTAGAGACCCTTGCCAATTCGTATTCACTGGTTTTATCTGTGTTTTTCAAATAAATTAGCATTCTGATTCTGGCACCTTTTAAAAATTCCCTCCAAATAAATTGCTCTATGTTCACTTTTATTCTTCATTGCTATAAAAGGCTAAAAACCAGATGCAAATAGGTTTTGGAAAGGAATAGCTCATAGGCCAAAGCTGGTACACAGAGCTCTTTTGTTTGACTTGAGCATCATAACTTTTTAAAAATCTGAACTTGAATGTTTTGAGATAGGTCAGCTTGCCATAGTCACCAGTCATCCCTGCTGCACTCCACCAAACCCACTTTCCTCATTTCTCTTCCCTACCTGGCCTTTCTAGTCGTCTAGGTTCTCAACTCCTCATCTATGGTCCGGTTTCAGATGTCACGTGCCTGAGACTGCAGATCAGCAAACTGAATAATTCATTGCCAAGGCAGATCCAGAAGACAATGAAACTTAAGAAGTGAGCTAGTTCAAATGTGCATTTTGAAGATGAGTCCCTGGGAGGAGAAGAGGCTTGCCAAGGTGACGCGGCCAGCAAGTAGCGAAGGCAGTCTGCGGTGGACGCCCTCCCACGGCCCTCAGCCTTCCGCCCCGGATACCCCCTCAGCCTCAAAGGAAGTATTTAAATAAAAGGAATTTGTTTCAGGTTTGGGAATTGCTTTAGGATTTAAGCTAGAGTAAATCAAATCTTAATAGGGCCCAGAAAAAAAACGATAAAATCCTGCCAAGAATTCATGACATGGAAAATTATATGATATATGTCTACTTCTGTGCATTTTAAGAAAGAAATCAAGAGGTAGAAATGGGCTGACATCACATCACTCAAAAATGCAAAAGGGACACATAATCATTAATAGATTTTGAACCAACATCCCCCTATTCCAATTTTACAAACAAAATTACTATAGAGAGCTCTGGAAATAAATTCTTAAAAGTTGAACAGAGAAGAGTGTCTTTACCTAACAAGTTATCTTACTAAATATTCTTTAAGTCTTCAAATAAAATCTTATAATTCTTAGAATTTAATCCTAAATTTATAATCTAACAATTTTAATAGGACCATGAAGATTTTCCAGCCATAGAATTATGGCTCTTTTCCATAGCTTCTATATTTTTTTCGGACAGCATTGGTGCCCAGACTAGAGTGTACATCACACCTATCTGGGGGCTTGCTAAGGTGCAGTTCCCAGGCCCTTCTCAAGGCTCTGACTCAGTAGGCTTAGATGGGCTCTAACCATGTAGAGTTTCAACAGGCACGTCCTGGTAATCCTAAAGTAGCAACGGAGTAGCCGTCTTTAGGATACACTGGCTTAGGGAAACAGTGGGACATTTAATCTCATTCCCATTCAACAAATGGGAAATTGGAGGCCCTAGCTGGGGGAAGAATTATTTGACAAGGGCACTCAGTTAGTTAGTGGGACTGACCCCTAAATCTCCTTCCACTTGGTCTCACTATCCCAGAGTTACAGACTATAACAGCAGGCAATAAAGGGGTTGGTACTACAGTGTGGCATCTAACACAGAACCCCAAACACCCGTGCATTTGTGGGCAAGTGTTACAAAGTGCTGCAGAATCACAAATGATGAGAAGGATAAAGAAAAGGAATGTGACAGTTCTACTCCCCTATTTTTTGTAAGATTTCTTTTGTTTCAGGCTGAATGTGAAAAATCACGTTAGTAACATGGGCCTAAAAATGGCACTGACATGTTACATGGCCAACCGACAAATAGGCTGTCCCTCTTCAGAATATCTAAAGAACTTCACCTGTACTGCTCTTGGGTACTGGCTCTTTGACACTTAAGAAGTGCTGGAGGTAAGGATATAACAAATGCAAATTCAACTCCAGGGTGTGACACCTACACTAGGTGCCCAGAGAATGAATGAATAAATTTAGCCAGAATGAAATGGACTAGAAATCATTTTAAAAGTCAGTAAACATCAGAATGACCTATTTGCCTAATGAAATTCCCTAATTCATTCATTCTTTCATTCAAAGTAATCCTTTTAAATGTAAGTCAGAAGGAAACCCTCAGGATGGCATCCCATCCCCTTCAGAATAAAAGCCAATTTTTAAAAATCTTTTGTCACAAGGAGACCTAACACCCCTACTCTTCCCATATCCCCACACTTGCTGCACTTGCTCACCCTATGCCTAGCACATTCTCCCTCCTAGGGGCTCATGGCTCACCCCTTACCTTCTTCACGTCTTTCCCCAAATGTCACCTTCTTACTGAGCCCCTACTTGGCCACTATACCCCAGTGTTCTCTGTACCCCTCTTTGCTTTCTTTTAGAAAAGCAGAAATTTTACCCTCTGAAATCCTATGTATTCTATTCATTTATTATCCCTCTGCTCACTCCTATTAGAATCTAAATTCTGTGAAAGCCAGGATTTTCACCCATTCTCTTCTCTGTTACAGCCCAAAGCCCAAAACAGTGGCTGTCACACGGTGGGGGCTCACTCAACCAATATCCACTGAGCAAACACTATGTAGGTATTATGCTAGACACTGGGAACAGCAAGCTAACGACACACATGGGGTATGTTGCTTGGGTTTGGAGTCCAGCAGAGAAGACTAATTAACTACATAAAAACAGATGAATGAACAGTTAAGACTGTGACACTGGAAAATCCATGGTGTTCATGAGAGCATAACAGGGACACCTAGAAAGTACCCCTAAAGAAATGATTCAGAGAATAATAATAATAGTGATAACTTCCTATACCTTGTAAACACATTCCATATTTTAATGCATTTTCTCTTCAACATAATCCACTGAGGTAGGTATTATTATTATCCCTTTTTGCAAATGAAAAAAACAGAGGAACTGAGAAGTTAAGTAACTTGTCCAAAGTAGTAAGTGTCAGACCTAGGATTTGAACCCAGGCAGTCTGGCTCTAAAGTCCACATTCTTGACTACTGTACAATACAACTTCCTACCAAGCTGATCTCTCAGAAGAGGAAAAATTGTATCTGCAGAGTAAAGAACATTCTCAACTGGGTAACAGCACATGCAAAGAATCTGGGGCAGAAGGGAACATGGTGTGCTTGAAGATCTAGAAGGCCAGCATAGCTAGAGTACAGAAAATAGGGGGAGAGGGATGGGAGATGGATAAGTCTGGCAATGAAGGAGAGGGGGAAGGTAAGGGGAAGAGAGAGGTAGCAGGTGGGCAGGCGGACAGAGAGGGGTTGGTCAGATGAAAGCCAGATCGGATGGAGAAATGGAACCTACGGGCCAGGTGGACAACTTCAGTTTGTATCATCCCAAGAGCAACGACAAGCTGGTAAAAGTTTTCAAGGAGGGTCAGGGTGATGTGGTCAATTTGTATTTCAAAAAGATGCCCCTGGCTGCAGTACGCCAGGGGTAGTATGGGAGTATGAGGCCCCACTGGGACTGCAGGTAGTATAGCAAAGGGAGAAAAGAAGGCACATTTAAATGAATTTGGATCAACCCCTCCCAGCCTTGTTTCCCTAAGTCCTGGTGCCCCCATCTTTGAGTTCAAGCTCACCTTCTCTGATAGAGCCTCCTCTAACGTCGCCAGTGCAGTGTCTGTGTTACTGGAATCCGTCTGCAAGGACTTCACTCTGTCTTTCAGATTGGTCAGTTGCTTGTCTTTATCCCTAAGTTGTTCTTGCAAGTTTTCAATCTGAAAATAAAGATCACAATTTTAAATGCATATTTCATTACACATCCTGGGCCCAAATTCTTAAAGTAGATCTGTTTAAAAAATAAAAAAAAAAGACTTGAGATTATGGAAACTGTCAGCTTTACAAGATTACACTTTGACTTAGTCTTAGACTCAAGGCCATTTTGAGGAGACCCTCATTCTTCTATTTAATTTTGTGTATAAATGGTGATATAGACGAGCAGAGTAACTCCCTCTGTACAATGCAAGCCCTTCTGACACAGGTCAGCACTGTTATTTCTATGTATTTCTACCCTTTTACCAGCCTTTTAAGTCTCAAGTCCATAGACCTAAGCTTGGTACGGTGAACCAGAGAAATGTTACACAGCATTAATATTAATATATTGATTGAACAGACATTTATTGGGTGCCCATTCTGTACCAAACACCATATCAGTGTACGGCAGAACGCACATAGTCATCCACTCAATCTTTTATTCAGTATTAAACTTTGCGATATGCCCAACGTTGTCAAGTGGCTGTTTCAAAGTAACCACATGAAAAGCCAAGCAGGTTATCACCAGCAGACTGTTAATGGGAAGAACTCGCGATATAAGTCAAATATGACAAGTACTAAACACTCCATTTGGCAACTAAGTCATGTGCTGGCAACCAACCAGCCACTTTTATCCACTATCTGCAGCCTGAAATAAACACGCCAAGTAGCCGATTATAACGCCTCCCAGGAACAGCAGCGCCGACCTTCTCCTGGGCACCGCGGACACTGTCATTCATGTTTTTATTCTCTGCTTTCAAACCATGTATTTCTTATCTAAGGTTTGAAAAAAGCCCCACTACATAAACAATTTATTCGTATTAAGGGTTTTAAAATGACAAGGAAAAAAAGCAGTACAACTCTAAGATAAGTCCATTCAAAATATTTGTATTCTACACCCAGCTCTCTCAGGGAATCATTCTAAATGCATGTTTCACAATGTATGACTCAAACAATTTTTTTGATTACTTGATTTCTTTAGCATGAATCTGGAATGGCAATACAAATAATGATCATCATAGCAGTAGTAATCAAGAGGAGGAGACAGTGACAATAACAACAGAAGTGGCAGAACTAGCACTATCAAAAATAGTTCTGAATGCAAAGACAATGACTCTGCTCACCCTCAATCTGGAGAACATGGTCTTAGCTAAGTTTTGCAATAATTACAATGGATGTGGACTAACAGACTAACTTCTTTCTTCCTTTTTTTTTCCTTCTTCTGCTTTGAGATAGACAAGCTAGACACTCAGGTTATAGGTCAAATTGTTTCCTCCATCAAAATGCAATGTTTTCCCTTCCAGCTGCCACTATGAGGATTCACCGTCCCTCCATGGAAAACACAGCGACTCACAAGGTCTGAGCATCTCCAGTCAAAGCAAAGGCTTCTTCCATTCCAGACAAGTGTTCATGTGGTCACACAATACCATAAGCAAAAACATGTGCAAGCAAGAATGTGGATGGTTATGTGTCAGAATGACAGTAGTTATATGGAAGAAGCCAATAGCTGAGAGGAATGACTCTTGGAGACACTGTACATTATTACTTTGAGTACACACAGGCATACATTTGTGCACACATGTAAAAATGCATGGTGGCACTGAGTAAACGAATTAGGCCCACCTGCCCACCCTGGGAGGCAGTGCCCTGGGGAGGGGTAAGGGGACTTTCCCTCAGGATATCAGCCCTGGGGTAGAGATAGGCACTGATTTCAAGGGACTTTGGGCACTGGAAATAGAGGCCAAAGAAAACTGGCTGAGAGCTTATGTGAGACTCCCTGGGACCTTCCCTAGTAACTAGGAAGACTTAAGAAGGTTTAGGGTCAGGGGTCCTACCAGAATGCAGGTCGGGACTGAGAGATAGAGAAATGTAGGATGCTGAAATCTTTAGACACGGAGAAGGTATATCTATTTATTTCACATCTAAGAACCCAGCAGAAGAGCCAGTGATACCACAGGCAAGACTACTAACAGGCTGGAATTGGAGACACATTTATCCAACTAGGGATGCACTACTTTAAGAAATGCTACCCAGAGGTCATCAAGAAGGATTCTTAAGAGAGAAAAACAGATGTAGAACATTATGGGGAATATAGTCTCTTGCATAAATAAAAAATAAATTACTAAATAGATAAATATATCTGAGGAAAAAAATCACTAGAAACTTTAACCTTTGGGTGAAAGGATTTGGGGAGGAGGAAGAGGGGAACTTCCACTTTTCATTTTTGTACACTTGTGTAGATTTTTGCTTAAATTTTCTAACAATGTAGGCTTTATTATTTCTTTAATGTCAACCAAGAGTATCTAGCTGGTAAGATTATGGGCCATTTTTAGTTTATATTTGTATATAAAATTAATAAATAACATATGTGTGAGTAAATGACAAATAATTTAATATATAACACAAATACCTACTTAAAACTAAATTTTCCAGGTTGCCAGCAATTAAAGATTTAAACCATGGCCTAATATGCATGTATTTAAAATCATGTTTTCATACCATTTGCTGACTAAATGGAAATAGCAGAATCTTAATAAAAAGGCAAAATATAAAATAATATAACATTAATTTTGTAAAAAGAAAAATATTCTTAAAAGAACAAAAATGTATACATAAGAAACTCACTAAAAATTTTATGTGGCAATGGGGAGATTAATGATGTTACTTCTTGCTTTTCTGCATCTAGCAACTTGTTTTCATTGACCATAATAAATAGAATAAAAAGATATTTGTAATATCTTATTATATTTTTATAACCAATTATGAAATATCAGAATGGTTCTGTAAATGAGTTTTAAACAATAAGCTTCTGCTTTCTAAAAGGACTCTTTTGCAGGAGAAAATGTTCCTTTGTTATGCCAAAGAGGACCAAATTCTTAAAATTTAAATTTAGGAGACTGCAGAGAATGTAAAATTGAGTATCTTTTTAAAAAATATTCCACTATTTTCCCATGTGCACAAATTGTCATGATGTTTATGAGAAAAAAGGTTTACGAGAACCTTTTTCTTCAAAGAGTGAGGTTGTACAAGGTTCCAATAGTAGATATTGGAAAATAAGTGTTAGGATGGGGAGGTTTGGGAGTGGAAAGTGATGGGTTTTTAAGAAATTTCACATGTTGCAAAAATGAAATCCACTTTAGCAACACAGAGAACTCACCTGGTCACTGTGACAATAAAGTAAGAAGTGGGTCTGCACACGGGGCTGGAGAGAAACCCTGCCCTTGCCTTTGACCTGCCTGTGGGTCTTGGCCAGGCAGATTCCAAAGGAGCCTGACTGCAGAAGCAACGCTGGGCCTTCCAGGGCAGACCTCTGCAGAGGGGGTGAGAGTGGGAGGAGCACAGGCCCTGGAGGTGCCCAACAGTCCTAATCCTAATAGCTTTAAGCTGGCTTCTGAAGCTCTGCTCAAGAGCTAATGGGCCCTTAACTCTGGGCTTGCCATGCCTGAGGAGGGCCAACGCCCAGAGGGAGCTTTGCTGTGTGTTTTCACACAGGTGCAGTCCACAGCACAAATGTGGTCATTGACTAAACAGCCAAAGCCCCCTGGACTCTATATTCACTCCTCCTCCAATTTGGTCTCCATGTTGCAGCCCGGGTTACCTTCCTAAGGTGCAAATCTAATTATACAACTTCCTCCCTTTCCTTCAACAGCTCCCCACTGCCTCCCAAATAAAGCCCAAACTCCTTGTTATCATGCATAAGGCCCTCCAAGGATGGTCCATGTGGTCCTGTACCATCCCCTAGCCAAGCCCCAACCCTGCCAAACCACTCCTGCCAGTTCCCAGGGCCAGGCTCTATTCATGCCTTCTCCATCTTTGCCTATCCATTTCCTCTGCTTGGAACTCTCTTCCCACTCCAACTTTTTATCTGTTCAAGTCCTACTCAAATCTTTAATATCAGGATATTCCTTGCATCCTCCAGGATTCCTTCTCTGAAGCCACCCCCACCACCCCCAAGCCAGGTTGAGTATCCTAATCTGCATTTTTCACACACTATTAAATGTGTCATTTTACTTATCTAACTCCACAATTGCAAGCTCAATTATGACAAGAGCTCTGTCATACTCACCGCAGTACCCAATTGTGCTGGCAATACCAAATATTAACTTATTGAATGAATGAAAGAAGGAAGGAAGGAAAGAACCCTGAAGTAGAAATGGCTAGTCCTTTCAGTTCCAGGATTCTAAAAAGAAGAACTTAAAAGTGATGGACAAGTTCTACATACAGCCTAAAACAGAGGACCTACCTGCTTAGGCATATTTATATATGCCCAACATCCCAATGACTCTGGGCAGGTACATCTAATGAGCAGAGCCCAAGAAAGGCACACAGCCCAACTACACAAGGGAGGCTGAGAAACCAAGTCCTGGCATTTTTCACCTTCAATAGTGAGATGCCCTTTATAAAATCGGAAGAAAGTTCAGAGTCTGGGTGGCCAAAAAAATGCCCCATATCCACAGCACCTTATGGAGAACTCTGGTGTCAGCTCCTGAAGCAGCAAACTGCACCACCCTAGAAAGTTTCTCTGAACTCTCGCTCTCTCAAGTTCCCACAGACTCACAAGGCTAGGTCTTCTTCAAATACGGTCCATACAACTCTTTGTTAGCAGTCTGTGATGATTATAGAAATTGAGAGTGTTTGCATATCACTCCAATATCCAAGAACATGATCCATGGCCTTGTCACGATGGGCAGCGTATAGACAAGTTTGGGTGTTGTTGAACTCATGTGTCACACGTGGCCAGAACCACACACTGAGTGTACATACAGTTGAACCATGTATTGTTCCATGACAGACTGGAAATGTTTAAAAAAGAAAAAGGTTGCTTGGGAAGCATAAAATTATAGGTCTGCTAATGCCTCACACTCTTCAGAGATACCTTTTGGAGAGAGCCAAGGATGTCCTCTGAGCAGAAAAGGCAAAGCTGGTTGCTAGTACAGCATCCGCTAAGCCATTGATTTAAACACAA